ATTGGGCGGGAAGTTCTTTCGATGGTCTATGGCATCCTGATGGTAGTACCTTGGCTGCGCAGCAAAAAGCGAGAAAGCGTTTGAATCGGACTTGTGGAATCCAAGATTTAACAAGCTGGGCTGTGTTGTGTGCATGCCAACAATTGAAAGAGAGTGCAAACACATCAACCTGCAAACAAGTCAATCTGCTGTTCTCGAAGTTGCTCTAGCTGGGCATATCCTGAGATGAAGCGTGTGAGCGGATCGCGCACAAAGGTGAAGGTGGAGGGATGGGACACATTCTGGCAGTCATATGGATGAAGGTCGCCCCCTAGATTATGTCGCTCCACATTGCCACCCATCAATTGTTGGAGGTTCTCAATGCCTCCCCAGCCGACTGCTTTCCAAACATGCAGCAGAAAGAAGGTCTTCCCATGGCAAACCTCATCCTTCAGCCAGGCGCTGGCGAAGTCCGCACTGAATGAGCTAGGCTCATATGGCTTGATTTCCTTGCCGAGCTCAGCTTGCACATAGGGCCAAACTCTATGCCGGGCTTCAATCAAAGCAGGCAAGCATTGCTGAGTGGATGAAAGGCACTCCTCCTTCACTTTGAGCATCAGTGGGCCCAAAGCCATGTCCTCCAAGGAATCGGCTTGAGTCGTTTGAAGCCCACTTGGCTCGATGTCCTCAGAGGTACAAAACCATGCTTAAAATTACCACCCCCCTATCTATCACCGTATGGGAAAAAAAGGGGCCTAAGGGCCTACTAGGTCTAGCACGTAGCACGTAGAAACCAGAAAAAAAAAGGCACCACAAATCGGTTAAAAGTGTTCACATTAAAGCGGCTTTGCGAGACTGCTGTAGCATTGCCACATCGTCACGGCTTGTGGTCGCTACGACCAGCAAGGTGGCAAACACGGCAATCACGAATCTTGCAACCATGGCCTCATGCACCAAAAGCTTCAAGGGATGCTGAGCAAGGAGGACGGAGCAAAGGTGGATGTGAGCATTCAGTCTTGTTCTACGCGGGCCCAAGCAGTGAGCCAAAAATCATCAGTTCTCATCAGTGTGCCAAAGGGACTAAAACAGGACTCACTGTAGCAGGTGGTTGCTGAGTAGCAATGTCCATAATGCAGTAACCAATAATAACTGTTTCTTGGGCCATTTGGGGGTCTCACTAGAGTAGTCCTCTATCTAAAGAATCTAAAGACTGTTTGATCAAAATGCATTGAATCTGCGAATCTGCGATCGCGAAAAACAAGAATCGTATAGAATCGTTACATCCCAATATTTACGAGGACGTTCTTGGATGCCGGCTCCACCACCCAGTGCCGGGCTCCGAGTTGGCCTTCTGACCGCATCTCTTGCTGAAGCTGTGGCCTGACTGAAGGCCATCGGTGGAGTCAAAGATTCTAAGATAGTCCAAGCATCACACAAAAGCTGGACGGTCGGTGTACTGTTTGGCTTTCAACGACACGATCCAATGGATACCGACAGTGGATACCCTGTTTCGATGGTCATTGACACGGAGTGCACATGAGCATATTTCATCATATGTCATTGATTATAAGATCAAGATCTCAGAAGGAATTCTGCCGTGGAGGATGGTTTTGACGCCTTCTCTCATGTAACACAACCCAAAAAAGAAAGAGGGCACCCTTGACTCTTGCCGCCCACCAATCAGCCCTGCAGTGCCACAACCGCCACATGAAGCCAGCACTGCGACAAACAAAAATGGACATAAGACCAATTGTGATGACTGTCACAAAGTTGTGATGACTTTGTAGTGTCTTGAGCTTCCATTTCTTACACGCAGCTGTAGCACCGGTGTAGCATCACGCGCTCCGAGCCTGAAGGTGCGCGAAGGTGAGCACGCAGCGAGCCATCCATGTGCGCGGGAAGATCATCTGGCCGTTCCCCTCCAAGAAAGGGGCTATAGCCAAACACTCCATGGGCCACCATGGGACATGATATATATATATATATATGGCGGGCTTTCGGGTCCACTTGATCGTAAACATGGACCCTCTAATCCAAAACAAAAGGAAACAAGGACAAATGATTGGGTGAGGGGCTCGGAATCTGCACTGTGCTTGTCGCAAATCAAACGAGAATGTCCAACTAATCTCTCTACAGGTCATTGGTCAAACTCAAATGATAGACCGCAGCAAGGAAGCTGGGATGATATAAGTTGCAAGCAGAAAAGTATGATGTGCAAGTACCATGTAGTACCCTTTATCGAACACAGTCATAACAACTCTTAACCATCGTGATGGAAGTGCAAAACCTGCGCCAAACTCGAGCCGAGTTGGATCGGCATGAGCGGCGTCGCGCACATGTTCATGGGAACCGAAGTGGCTCTCTAAATATGAATATGCGCCAGGAGTCACGTTCGGCGGGGTGGTGTGGCTCGTCCCAGTGAGTGGAACATGGGCACCCCGACTTCCTCCATCTTCCTGTGGTAGTCAAGTTTCAGTGACGGAAGGATTTCATCATGTCAAATGAGTCCAAATCGGCCTCTCCAAGGCGTCTCCGTCCCTCGGAAGGCATCGTCCGTCCGAGTAGCCGCGGCCGCGGGCCGTGAGATCGGCGGCGCCCGCTCACCGGGCGGCCCGGCCCGCAGCGCCACTGAGTCACTGGGATGGCGAGCCCATAGCCCATATAGACTCATAGACTACACATAGATATTTTTGAATAATATTGAAATATATCGAGTTGGTATATGAATTAGTATGTAATGGTGTGCATTTAGATAGGGAGATCTCCCAGGCAACAACGGAGAAAGGATCCAGGACCAGTCATAGACCAGTCTACCCAGCCAGGGCCAGGGTGTCTCCCTATCAAAATCACACCCATATCGCCCGTATTCCTTTGAGCTTCAGGAATCTCCGCGCAATCAGAAACAGGCTCCTTGGGGGAGACCACGAGGTCTGCCAGTGCAATGAGGTGAACTGTTTCCGAGTCAACGCTGTTTTCGGAGCTTGTTGCGCTCACCGTCGGAGCCATCGGAAGATGACTGGGTGAAAACCACAGGGCTGGTCGCTGGTCGGGCTGGGCCTCTTGCAGTGTTGACATACAGCGCATGCAAACAGAACTCCAAACCAACTCGAATCTTGACCAACCCCGAATCACCTAATACCCCGATGCTGTAGCAGGTGATCATTCTGAAGCCTGCCCACTAGCGCGTGCAGAAGTTGGACCTCTGCTGATTGATGGATTAAACATGACTAAGCCCTAGACTATCAAAATCAGCTGAGGCAAGAATCACATCCATTGCACATGGCAAGAACTGGGGTGTCGAGGGCGCAGGACTTTCATCCAGCAGCACAGCCCAACACTAGCCCAGCACAGACCTGCCTACGATTATTTATACTTCTACTTCTACTCTAAACTTTTTTGAACGGCCAAGGCCTTTCGGCACTTATTGACTTTAGCAGCTTGGAGGACGCACAGATTTCTCTCAGTTGAGGTATAATACGTCCAATCCTGACTGTTCCAAGCCAGTCTGGAAGACTGATTCAGGATGCGAACCATACGCCCGCTAATAAACCCGGGCGACGATGTGATTTTTCGAAAGCACATCCATATTACGGAGGCTTGAATGATGGTGATTTGTGCACGTGTCCCGTATCCCCGCTCTGTTGAAAGGGTGCCATGATGTACCATGTGGGACCAGCTGCCAAATGATGGCCCCACAAATCACAACCTGATTGTTCGTGCAGGTGTTTGGCTTGACTTCCCCAAGCAAGAAATGGTCAGTGTCTAGCGGTCTAGCGCAACCTCCACATCTGTGTTCAGCAGAAACTCATTGAACCCATCTGTCTCCAGTCTGTAAATTCGAATCCATTGTTCTGATTCGATTGATTTGCTGCAGTGACTCGGTGCCTTTTAGAGATTCTGGGAGTGGAGACCCCAGCTGAGGGCCTTCGAGAAGGTTGGCCCCTCAAAACACCACCAGACCTCCACTGGAGACCTGAAGCACCGGTCGCCTTGTCGTGACCGTTCATGGTGGACATGTCGAGGGTCGACCTGGGGTCGAAACGCGGCCGAGCACCGTCTTCCGCGTGGGGCCAAAGGCGGCGGTGCTCGGTTTTCATTCATCGGAATCAAACAACGGGTTTTCCGCATTTGGATGATTTGTACTTTTGGAAATGCTCCTTCCAAAGAGTTGGCGTTTGGAATGCGCTGGGCTGTCAACTACAGCAGCGAACACCAAGTGGTGGAGAGAAACCACTTCCGAAATGCGGTTTAGAACTATCAAAAACCAGTGAATTTGGAGGGGTTGAACCTGGTTGAACCATTCCAAGGGACCCTCCCGTCACCGAGCCTCGCGGACCGTGGTAGCTTGAAGAAGTCGTTGGGCCCAGGTGGGCTGCCATCCTTGGCCATCGAAAGGCTGGTCGTGTTCCCAACGGATTCATGGATCCACTGTATCACTTTAAAAGGCCACTTCCAAGCAAAAGAAGAGATTTCGATAGGTTTCGATAGATTTCGTCTCTTTCGTTTTTTTTCGGCAACTCCAGGCTGCCCTCTTCCACATTCCATATTTGTTCTGCCAATATGATTGATGAACTTGCTTCTTCGCTGGTGCATAGGTGCTTTCATTCCTACATAGATCTATATAGTGGCATCCGGCAGGATTGGCACGAATCGGGATCTCCTTCCTCTGTGGTCTGGCTTTTTGATGCTTTTTGCGACATGTTCCTCACGCACGGCCATTCCGGCTTGGCGCTCCGGAGCCGTTTTCTCGTGTTTTCCCCCCAGTGGGGTACGATGCTCCTATTTTCGATCTGGCGGTACGACCTGATGTCGTTCCGGTGGTCCATCGGGTCGTTCGTTGGGGGTGCATGAATGATGACCACAAGTTGTGCGAAAGCGAAACAGCGAAAGCGAATTACAGCACTCCATTTGACTTCTGCGACCGCATTTTTTGTTGTCCTGATTCTACAGCGAAAACGGACACCATGACCGCGGCAGCAAGACCCATGAAGGACTTTTCATGGCACATCACCTTGTACTCATGGAGGAACCATCTCGCGGTAACTGTATAGACCTTCCAACTGTAGGAAGCTATCCAAATGGGTCCGTCGTGCTTGCCTTACTTAGAACTGTACAAGGGATTGGAAGGCCCGACGAATTCATGCAATGTCACAGCTCTTGCATGACAAACTGCGATTCGGACAAAACTCCACATATTGTGTCAACAGTGTGACCAACACTGCGTCGATCTTCAAGCGCTGTACACTTTACTTACTTAGAAGAGCAACGGAAATAATAGGGTTCTTTCCGTCGGTGCGTCAGCTGAATCCACTTGCACCGTTGAAGCCAAAGGCCCAGGAGAATGCTGACCATGGTGACCACTCCAGTGGCTGACCAATACACCCCCGGAGCAATGTGGACGGAGGTTTGATACCTTTGCGCAAAAAGGCGAACACACCGGAGCCAGGAACCCGTGTTTCCTACATACATGATCAAAATGATCAAACCAGCCACCAGCCCCACTTCAACAGATATACCAAGGAAAAGACGCAAACAAACACGCCCAGATACAACGTCTGTGAGATGGCCGCTGCAAATCCACCCAGGAAACTGACTCCGATGTTGTAACTGAGCGCCATCCCCTGGCAACGCAGCCGTGCGGGAAAGAGCTCAGCACAGAACAAGTAGATCGTAGCACCATTAAAGCCCTGAGCCAAGCCGAAGAAGAGACCCACTCCTCATTTCGAAGGAAACAAAAGTAAGGTGTTGAACAAGAAAAAGCAAATCACGTCATCTCGCATCCCTAACATTCCGTGACTTGATGGACACCTCATACATAAATTAAACATAATTGAACTCTATAAATACTGCTAACAAATGTATTCTGTATTGTTCTGTAAAATAGTATAGTACACAATTAATTCTTATCCCCCAGAGATCACGGTCACAAACCGCTGAGTCTTTCCGAGACACCCAAGTAAGCTGTCGCACGCGTGCTGGAGCTGGTTAAGCATGCGTAGATCGGCAAGCCGATGAGTGAGCAATAGGCTGCGCCCACAAAAGCAGTGGATGCTACGCCATAACGGTCTGCCAACCAGCCAGCGAGGGGAGTGATCGCCAAACCAACCAGTTGACAGGAGTTGCCAACCCACAAGGCGTCAGAGGCCCCAAGGTCCTGTAACACAGCACCGATGGTCCAGAAAGGAGGGGCAAACCACATGGTAGCAGCAGCGCAAACTCCTCCAATGCCCACGAAGAGGGACAAAGGGTAATGAACCAAGAGCTCAACAATACTGCCACAAATGCTTTGCTTTTGGCTTGAGTCATTCACCTCGGACAAGAAGACCTCCGTTTCTTGGATCTTGTTCCTGCCCCACATGGCCAAGAAGCCAGGCAAGGCAGAGAAAAGAAAGGGAATCCGCCAACCCCAAACCAACATGAGTTCGGGACCCAGGAGAGAATTCAGCAGAGCCAACATGGCGCTTGCAAATGCCCATGCGATTTGGCTGCCCACTGAGATCATGCAAATGGCCATGCCGATCGTGGACACCGGTGACACTTCCATCAAATAGGCAGTGACGGCTCCGATTTCTCCGCCGGCTGAGAGACCCTGTAGAGCACGAAAGATCATCAAAAGGATGAACCCCAAGAGCTTCAATTCGCCTCCCCAGTACTTTCCAGGAAGACAGCCCTGACCCACCGTAGCCACAATCATGCCGAAGAGCGAGAGGTTCACGGACAACTTGCGGCCACAATGGTCTGCGATGATACCCAAAATGAGGCCTCCAAGTGGCCTTGCCACAAAAGTGACAGCATAGCCCAACCAAGCCCCAAGCGAGGAGCCATCAAAAAAGTTGTCTGCGATCTCCTTCTCCACATAGCTGTAGACCCCAAACTCATACCACTCGAGGGTGTTCCCAAGCAGTAGTGGCCAAGTCAACTTCAGAAACGCAAGAGAATCTTTCATGTAGCCTTTGGGGCCTGACTTCATGGACTCTGTTTCTTCAGTCTTGTTACTGCGGATGCTTTCAACGTCTTGTGGGCGTTCGTTCTGAACCACTTCAGCCATGATCTTCCGAAAAGGTGGAGTCGGCTTCAGTCGCTTCAAAATGGGTGCTTGAGCCAACACATGCCAACACACAGAGCAGCAGAAATCATCGAAACACCTGGATCTAAAGTCAAAGCCAAGGACGCTGACCACAAGAGAGAGAATGCTCCACAAGAGACTTGCACGGCGTGATATCTTTCTGCACTGGACCACATTTCTTCAGAAGCACCTAACACAGTACACCGTATACCACTGGACATGCAAAACAACAGCACATTCTGACACAAAACAGCCACCTTCCTCTCCAAAGTGACTTCAGCCATGTCTCCACCTTGAGAACTTTTGGGCCGTTCTTCGGGTCAATCTCTACCTGCGTGGAACAGCCGAACGGTCCACGACGGTCGTCACGGTTGGTTCGGGACGTGACGTGGCGGGGACACGTGGACGTCCGAGGTGGTGAACTGTGGCAGGGTTGTGGCACAACGGCACATGTCCACCTCTGATTTATCAAGGGGGGGCCCTCGGGGTCAGGCCCCCCCTCCTGACATGAGCTCAACTAGACTTAAATACTGCTTTAGTATTGGTAATGTTGGCCTTGCTTTTTGGGAACTACATGGGTTGAAACTTGATTTAGAAACTAGGAATCCAGCGGCGGATCGAATTAACAAGTCTAATTTTCGTGGCAGGTGTGGGACGGTCAGAGAAGGATGTAAGAAGGAATCCAAAGAAAGGACCAGTTATATAAAGAATTGACAGGCAAATGCTGGGAGACTTTGTCAAACACGGGATAGGAGACTTTGTCACGATTTGTCAATCTTGTTCAAGACAACTTTGTTAAAGGCCAAATTGGAGATATCTATACAGGTCCAGCGGTAAACACATTTAGCTTTATTTAGGGTGTATACCCATAACTTGTTTTGGTATTTGCTTAACTTTATTCAGGGTAAGTTGATACATCATAGGTTGACATTATCAGACCAAACCCCCCAAGTCTCAGTGGTCCGGGAATGTCCTTGGATGCTCATCTCAGAAAAAGAAAAATAACACGCGCGCAACAGGGGCGAATTCGGTTTCTGCATGAACACTTGTTGTTCCGAAACTGCATGGACTGTTCGAGCTGCTTCGCAGACCTCGATCATCTCTCCATCCACATCAACCATCACATGTCTCTCTTTGATGCCATCGTAATTGTCGGCGGGATGGAAGTGGCGCACGCCGGAATCCTCGGACGACCAGAAAGAGAACGGTGCGCACAAAACAAATACCCTTATGCACCCATAAATGCCTGGTGAATTACCAGCAAATGCTGCCAACCTCTTGAATTCTATATATGCACACCAAGTAAGGGGTATCTATTGATAGCCCCTTCGAGGTTAAGGCGTGTCCATTAAACACCCCTTGTGGGTCCTAGGTCCTAGTACATGCAATTAGATTGTTTGCATTTTTTGCGGCACTGATGGTAGCAAGTTGTGGGATCTTGTGGATCTTGTGAGACCTTTCTGACTTATGCTGTCGTAAGGAAATGCCACGTAGGTAAGCCAAAATATTTGCTGCCTCAGCCAAAAGCGTGGGCGGCTCTTTGTTTGGAACTGAGCAGCTGAAGCCATATGGGAACGGATTGATTCCCGAAGAAACCGCACAGAAACGAACCTTAATGAGTGGATACAGTACCTAAGTGGAGAAATGACCTCAATTGACCTCCGGGAAGGCTCTTTAAATCCTCGCAAAAACCCGGCAAAAAGCACGTCATTTTCCACGCCACCGAACCCGTCCGCCCGTGTCCGATGAAGTCATCCAAGCCGCCATCGTCATATGCGGTCCGCCGCTCATGGCGGAAGTGGTGGGCGCTCCGGCAACGGAGCGAGCTGCAGTTGCTGTGCCCCGGGCGGGCGACAGGGCGGCACTGGAGCCAGCTGAGGCAAAAGAAGTTGGAAATAGATCCACGTGCGAACGGCCACCTGAAGTTTGAATGAGATGAGACTCGATCGCCATCTATACTTCTGTGCCGATCTGTTTGGGGCTGCTTCACAGAATGGCGTCTGCTCTGAAGTCACCTTTTTCTCTAATCCTAACGGGTGAGGCTCTCCATTCCCGGTGGAACAAAGGAACGGGCCGCCTACTTCAAGAGTTGATGGCGTGAAAACGCCACTACACCTGCAGCTTTCCCAGCCGGATGAGACAATCCTGGACAATCCAAGGTCGCTTGATGAAGTACCTGCGCAGAAGTTCCGGTGGCCGCAAGCTACACTGGCCGATGTTTGTTGCGGCACTCAAACAGGCGCGCGACTTCGCAAGAAGCTACGACAAGCTGCCACGAGCATTTTGTTGGAATTATGGCTTGGGGGCCTTAGAGGTAGAATCAGCTCATGGGGCCTGTGAAAATTCGACGCAGAGGGCAGCGCTGCCACCCTGCTGTCCAGCGCCCCTTCTGGGGGGCCTTCGTCGGTCAAAACCGCTGCTGAACAAAAGGCCAAACCTACCTAGGTGTGATCAACGTTGCATCTGCTCTTTGGAGTCAAATTGGGCAATTTCAGTCCTCGGCTTGAACACTGACCAAAACGTGTGAGTTTAACCTCTGTGCTCTTCGAAGCCCCTTTCTGGCTGTGAGCTACAGCAGCTACTGCATGGCATAAGTTCACTCGAGAGCTTAATATTGACCTTCTTTTCTCCACATTGTTCACTATACATTGTATATCATTGATGCTAGACATCAACATCAAAATACCTCATGGTTCCCGATGTTAACCCAATGAATTATGCTAAAGCAAACATATATCAACCATGACCAAATCAATGATGCTAAAAATGAATTATTATATAATTGTTGTCAATCATGCAGTACATAATAAATTGTCCTTCACTGCTCGTGTTTCACAGCTAGATCATCTAAGCAGGTTCGTCCTTTTTCCTGCAGCCCGACCTCAGGCCGTTTCTCAACTCAACCGTGCACATTCCGCCTGCAGCCGTGCACATTCGAGTCAAAGCGCCGAAAGTCACCGGAGTCGCTCCGTTGGTCTCTCCAAGGAACTGGTGCAACGTGACACAAATAAGCTGCAATCAGGATCTCTACTAGGACCCACTGTCGGGGTGGTTAATGACACCCCTTAACCATCCTTAACCTCTAAGGGGCTATCAATAGACACCCCTTACGGTGTCCTGGTAGGGATTCTTGCATGTGACCAGTCATTATTCTTGCATCTCAAGGGTGCGCCTGAGGCAAAACAACCCACGTGAACCAGCTTAGCTGGTAAGGCTGCCACGGCTCCACCATGTTCCACAGAACGTTATATGTTATGCAGCATGCAGCTGCATTGTTATGCTATTATGTTTCACCGCTTTGTCACGGCTTATGGTGTCTGCTGGCGTCGGTCGTGTGGGTTTCACCACCCGAGAAAACCCGCCTCCACGGTGTCTGGTTGCTCCAGCAACTTCTCCTGGTCGCCGCGGGGAATCCCAGCGGCCTACCGAAAGTAACACCGAACGGCCACCGGCGGTAGAGGGCCCTCCACGGCCATGTCGAAAGTCTCAAAGACCTTCCAGGGGACTGTCCTACCTTTTTGCTTTTGAGCGGTGAATAAAGGCCGCCATACGGCGCCACCATTGGTCACGTTTTGGGTGAGCCTACACGATGTCGAATTCCGTCATGGCTGTCATGGCATCGATCGAAGGCGAGATCGAAGCGTCGTCCTGGGGTCGTCCATGTCTCTCGGTGGTCGTCCGCACAGGAAAGTCTCAAAATGAATCCAACATCTGTATAAATCTGTGGATTCCGACAATGTTGGAACCTCGTTGACATACCTGGAACCTTCCACTGGTGTATTTGTTCCTCTCTTGGCGAAACAACATAAATGTCAGTCGTTTGCCGTCCAAAACGCTTTCAAAAGTGGCCTTTCGATGTTTTGAGAGGTTGCCAAATTAGCGCGGTCGGCAAAAGTCGCCGTTCGGAAAGTGCTTCAAGATCTTCAAGGCAAACTAGTTTGCGTTTGCTTGAAAAAAGCAGTCTTGACTGTTGAAAAGGCATTCAAAATGAAAAAGGATGAAAAAGGCATAGCTATGAAGACCCGGTCTACAGTCTACACACCCTTCAACTGTTCGTTGATGACCGATTTCCTCCGCTCTCTCCGATGCTCAGCTCCCGCACCCAGTAGCGCGGCCGCTGCCGAGGCTCTTCATTCTCTAGGACCTGCATACTGTATGGTCGGACGGTCGGCCGGACATACTGTATGTATGGTATGGTATGTCCCAAGTGCGACATAAAACATGTGGTTGGATGTCAGCTCTCTCTTTGAAAGGCCTCGCATGGCTTTACAATGTTTTGGGAACAGGTCATGTCATGGCCAATCCTTGGCACGTCGCACAGCCATGCAAAGTTATGGTGCACAAGTGCACGTATCCTTCCCATCAGGGTGTCGGTCCAAAATTGTAACGGGTGGTGCACGTATCCATGGTGAGTGGAAGAGCGATTCAAGGCTTTGGTCACCCAGAAATCATGCTGAAAGCCTGAAAGTCTTGGACATTCACCCATTTTCATGGTCACCCTTTCGGGGCGCCATCCACGTAATCGTGATAGACCAATGATTTCAGGGAGTGCATGCCCGAACACGTCCCCGAACACGTCAAACCCAAACGAGCGCCTATCTCTCAAACGGGCCTCTTCCTCTGGAAGCTTGATCGTTGCGATGCTTTCCGCGCCCTGAGGCCTCAAAAACTCAATGAGGCCAGCTGATCGCCGTGAATGAGACACACACACACACACGACAAGACATACGTCTGACGGATACCCCTTGTGGGACTTCGATTGAAGGGACATCATAGCGATTAGTCTCTGAAATGAGACCAATTAGATCCAAATAGCATGAATGACGGTTGTGGGAAAACATCAAACACACACAGGTCCGGTGGCCATCTGTTTCTTTTCCCATCTACCACCTTTCTTTCGACGGAACCGTCCGGTCAAACGGGGGCGGCCATGCGGCCGTCGGACTCTCCGGCTCGACGTTCGTAGCTTCATCCCCCTTGGTCTGGTGGTAAGGCCCTGGCAGAATATTCATTTCATAGAGAATCCATCACGGGGGGATGTAGCTTCTTAGTTCCTAGTGGTAATGCCAGGCAATGCCCCCATTTTAGCAAAATTTGATAGCTTCTTGTTCCGTTCATAGCAGCCGGGCGATCCGCGCGTCTTCAGAAAGTCCACGATACGCACCACGATGCTACACCAGCTTCGGAGGACCATTTTCTCCTGCCAGACAAAAGGCGGTGCAAAATAACAGCCGCGAAAGGGTGCACACATGGTGGGGGCAAGCGGTCCAAAAGAATTAAAAAAGACGTCACATAATTATTGGGGGTTAATTTCAGATGGTCAAAGACGTCCTTTGGTCAATCGGGCTTGATGCAATGGTCCTTTCTAGACTTCGACCATTCAAAACTCGCTCCTCTCGTCTCACAATCACAGCATGACCTCCGGCGAACGGACGACCGTAAGCACGCGTCCAACCCTTTGAAAGGGGGGCATCTTCACCTGTTCCCAACTGTTCTGCGTCAATGCCTGCCGGGCGTGAAGCAGTCTGGAGCTATGATGCTATGCCTACAGTATCTGCAGCCATCAGCATGGAACCAATGCCTAGAATTTGAGCTCATTGAGAGCTCCGAGACTCGAAGGCACCGCCCTTCTCACCACATCAGGTCGCCGCACGCTGGTTGATGTTGAAGCTGTTCTCTCCTCCAGCGTGGCGCTGAAAGAAGGCAACAGCCACGTGTTCGGCAAGACGAAAAAAACGTCTCTGGGTAGAACCCGGATGAAACCTCAATGCACCTTGATGATCAAATTTCAACACTTCCCGGAGATGCCAACCCCACCAGCTTGTAACTAATTTGACCTGGTTGAAGAGCCAAACACATTGCACCAAGCTAATCTGGTAGGACATGGTGATTCAGAACGATGTCCGGTCCTCGTTTCTCTGCCAACCTTTGATGACCGGACTGAACTGTAACTCTTTCTTCAGGCAGTATCAATCAACTGCCAAGGAGCAAGGATGCCCAATCGACCCCAATCGAGTCCGTCTGAATTCGGTGATTGGAACCAGAAAACCAGCGAAGAAAACCTCACGGACTCGAGGAAGGTAGATCTTTCAATTGGCGCCCCGCTCACATGGAACCCCCCAAAAACCATTCCACCGAAGTCCTAAGACGCAGCGAGCTTCCCCCACGCCGGAGCGACGACGCCGGAGCGCGTGGGCGTCGAAGGTCGCGTGGTCTGAGGTCTTGACTGTCATCTTGAGCAAGTAGCCGATCATCCTGCGGCTACTAGCTGGACGTGCATGAGGTTCTGCAAACGCAGTGCAAACGCGGAGGATACATGCCCTTGCTGGAGCTCTGCTGTAGACATGGACAGCTACACACAGATGTGCTAAATAGTCTAGATACTACAACTACATACAACTACAGTACTACTATATCATAAAGTAATAATGGAATCTCCTGAATCAAGCAGTCAGGCCAAATACTTGTCATTCATTGGCATTCTACAAAAGGTGGGCCACACCCTGGTAGCATGGAAGAGTGCCAATTCACACTTGATGAACACTTGCGTCCTCCGCGATGGTGCTAGCATGCCCGGCCTGAGGCGTCGCTGTCGCATTGATCAAGAGATCACATCAAGGACCATGACCGGCTGTGGCAGTCGAAAAGGGCCTACTGCCTCATGATGTTCCTCACTCTGTATGTGACGAGATCCGAAGGGACGGTATATAGGCGGAAAAGCTAAGATTCAACCAACGCCTCCGTCCTGTCCTGTTAACATGTGGGGTGCTGGTCTGTAGGTGAGTTTTCCATAATGTTCCATCATCATGCTATAGTGGATTGAGAGTAGATGGCACAGACCCCAAGAGGTGGTTTATACGGATCCCCATCTAAAGG